TTAATTGCTAATTGTAAGTTCGTTACTTCTTCGTTATGATCTCTGGTAGGTCCTTCTTGTTCCGAACTCGAGGCTTCTGCTTTCGACGACAGTTTATCAATGGATGTACCACATTCCTTGTACTCTACCCTCATATAAGGATCTTGGACAATCACCATATCGTCCTTCTCGTATTTTTGATCTAACATTGCCATTTGCTGCGGGCTGCCGCTGTAATAAACAAAAGATAGAATTTCAAGGAACATTACGTGATCACGTTGTATCTGATTGTTTATACCTGATTAGAAGTGCGTAATTCTCAACATTAGCGTGTTTCGTGCCAGACACGTTGGTTTTCAAGTATTTTTGAACATCGTTCGTCTTATCGGAGTAGAAATAGGCCGGTTTGGCGATTTCCACGCAAGGATCGTTTTTAATCATGCTGCTTCGAAGACGATGACGCGACGGTCGATGATCTTTCTTCGTATCTCTCCCTCTGTAACACATTTCTAATTTCAGAATCATATGAAATTTTTCTTTTTTTTTTTTTTTATGAAAAAAGTTCTTCTAATTACTTCAACAAAAATAAAGAGTAACGACAGAATAAACTAACCCTACGTTGTTCGCGTCGATAAAGATTTTCGGCTTTTTGGTGAAGCTTCGTCGAGGTTGCGCGAAATTTTCATAGTCGTCCCGAATTTCTTGCAGGACACACTTCTGCGCTGCTAACGATTGCTCGTGCCGGGCACGATGGTACTTGGATTTAATTTTCTCGCACATGTATTCGCTTTCTCGGGCGCTCAGGGCGGATTTCAAGCCGTTTGCTGTGAGATCGATTAACATGTAACAAATTCGGCGCGCGTCTGAAATACCAATATTTCGATAATAATTTACAAATCCACTAAATAATAATAACATCTTATGAGTAATGTATGAGCATAGTGTAAAGTAAAATCTTAGTATTAAATAAGCTGAGTTAATTATAATATTTCCTACAATTTCGTCCGAAAAAAATTCACCTCGTCATTATTAAAAATGATACTTCTTATTTTACGCTTTTAACCCACTCTATACGGATGAAACTTTCTTTCACTTCTTTTTTTCAGAATTGAGATGCGAAAGTGATCTCTATCTATCAGGATAACTGTAAGCTTTTGAAAATGAAATGTCTGTCATCGTTGCGCTTTTACTCACATGGTCGCGATTCTGGGATATAGTAGAGAACCACAACGGACAACATCAACACGGTCAGAGAAAAACGTTTTAGATAACCGATCCAGCCAAACATGGAGAACATCTCCTCCGAATAACCTGACGAGCAAGGAAGGAAGTGACTTGAATCGTCGAGGTAAACACGCTTTCACTTACTATCACTGTCCCATGATTTTGCCGCGGCGCACTGTATTACGAGCGCGCCAAATACCGCTAAAAGTTTCATTTCTATGGAGAATGCACGAGTGCAACGGTTCTCCGTACCGTTCCGTCGCTCGATACTCGATCGCGGTTTTACGTGAGAATCGCCATGATGTCTGGTAAGGAACAAAATCGGGACGGAAGGTGGCAACGAGCCTCTTTGGACGCGACGTTTGCCTCGAGGCGAGCTATCAGGAAGCGAATTTCACTTCGATCTATGTCGCGAGTAACGGCAACGGATGTTTACACGTGTATGTGTACACGTGCATGTGCTTGACTACGTATCCAATACGTTTTTAAATACGGAACGATTAGTTTCGAGGCGAGATGCGCCACTGCAAGTAGTATCGACGCGGCTGGCACAGACACTGGCGTGAAACGAAAGGAATTTTTACATTTGAATTCGAGTTTACAGTGTTGATGATACATTGGTTGCTGAATGTGAGTTTCACTTCTCCTTCCTCGTGTGACAGCATACCGACACGTAATTTAAGAAACTTGCATGTGAAAAACTTATTTCCTAATTTGATCGGCCGAGTTAAAAGAGATCTGAAGATAGCACTACGTCAGTATACTTGATGTATGACAGAAATGAATGATCGTAGAATTTAACACTAAACGTACCGGCATTTTACATGTACCTATCTTACCATAAGGAGTCAAATGAAACCACCCTCGCTGTGCATAAGGTACGCAAAGAATTTTCCTCGGTAAAAAAAACAAGCTAAGAGGAAAACAGAAAACGAGAAATTGAATAATAAGATAATGCAAGAATTTACAAAAAGTCAGATTAGCGAAAGAAATAACAACGAAAGTAAATTTTGAAAAGCTTGGTACGTTTAGTAGAGATAATCAGATCTCTCGATTGCCATTAAAA